ACTTCGCAATTTTATATTCACTGTTCCTTTCAAGATAAATATTTAAAAAAATATATAACCCTAGGACCATCTAGACCTGATCTCCTTTACATAGAGAGAAATATCATTCTGAGAAAAGCGATTACTCAGGTTACTTTCCTTCTTTTAAGGTCTACGATTTTCAACAAAGAATAATTTCTTAATATAATGGTCTTCAAATATACTCATCACAAATTTTAGAAAAACTCATTATCGTTTATTCAAAAGAAGGATTTATCCTTTTCATAAAAATATTCTAAAATTTTATCAAAGAAAAAGTGTGTTTGATTCTATGTGGTAAGCAAATCAATTTTTTTTTTATTCAGTATTCTTGATTGAAATGCTAAACTTGCTAGAATGTAGAATGTATTTTGAAAAAATTTCATGCTTATAATTAAATTGCTTATGATATTACAGATATATAAACTTTTGAAATACTTGTGAAACATGTAATATCTTCAAGGTAGTGTTTCTCTATACGTATTACGATTATCTCAGTCTGTTCTCTGTTTCAGAAGTTATCACTTCTTTTTATATAATTTGCCATTTGCATACCACAACGCAACATCATACATTCTTAAGTTTCACAAAGCGCGATACTCGATAAACAGTAAAGACATTTGACAAGATGCGTCTCGCAGCTCGCTTTTCGTTTGACCAGCTAGAAGACGAGTTACGACGAGTAGTTAGCTGTGGGGAATACTCAAAATTCCGAGCCACAGCCCATTGCCAAATATGATCGAGCAAGCCGTAATAAGAAGATGGAATTAGCGGAGGAAGCGTCGCACCTCGGGGGGCATTCCTGAAGGCCGCGCGCGCCGGGCCCGACTTTGTAGGTGGGTTTGTTCGATAGAACGAAACTACATTTATCCCCGGGGACACGGGATACGCGTCCGTGCTCGTCTCAGGACGATCATCGCACCGGTGGTAATTAGGACTCGGTAATTTGGCCCGCGGTGAGGATTTCGAAAAAATTCCGCAGCGCAAACCAACCGAATTCGTCGAATCGACAGATGGTCCCCGACAGACGCACAGGAATTCCGTGGGTGGATCCTCGCCCCGGGGACGCTTACCCTTCGCTCTTCATCGTTTCTTCTCACTAATCTCACTGATCGCAAGTTCATGTGATAATGAAAAGATTTTGACAAATCTTTAGGGAAGTTCTGAAAGTATTCAACTAAATTAAAGTATATTGTGGGCAAAAATAATCAAAATTAATTAATCAAACTATCCTGCGATTGGCTCTTTGCCCGCAATATACTTTAAAAATAATTCGAAACATGGCTATTTTTTTACTTAAGTATTCAATATACGGCATTAGAGAATTAAAATTTCCTTTGACTAAAATAATCAGTAAATCAGTAGTCAAAATTAATTAATTGTCATATATGTAATCATGAATAATTTAATCGAGTAACGAAATTAATTATTGATCAATATATAACCAATCACATCAAGGTTTGATTGATAATTAATTTTGTCAGTCATAACGTTATTTGTAAATTGAGAATATAAATTAATTTTTATTATTGATTTGCCGATTATTTGAGTCGAGGAAAATTTCTTAACCGATTAGTTTGTCGAATTAGTTTCGCCTTTTACTTTGCAATCGTCTTTGCCAAGAGATGATTTTTTGCTTCTTCACAACCCAATTGAATCTAATTCTCTGAGTTTCTCGAAGTGAAATCTACTTGAAAATTCACTCGATGGTGAAGATTCTGCCCACTCAGAATCACAAGGAGGAATCTCTCACTCGAGCTCAGAGTAGATTCTGATTCCAAGCGAAAATTTCAATTGATTCAAGTGAATTTCTTCCTATGGAATTCATCAGATTCACTCCTTAATTCTTGAATTAAAATGGGTGTTCCGAGTGGAAGTGAATATTTCAGAGAATTCACTCTATACGAGTGAGAAGTCGCTTGAATTCGAGTGCAGTTTTATTCCAAGAAATTTAATACACATAATTTCATGTTGGGAAACAAAGTGACCTCAGAGTTTAAAATTTTTTTCATAACGGATCTATGTGATTATTGCTCATATCCTTTTTTTTTAAGGATGACCTCGGTTATCTAATTTTGCGAGAGTCGCTCGGTTGCGCCTCTCGTCGCAAATTTTTACTCGTTCTATAGGGAGAAGTCTGACACGCAGTCGCCCCCGACGCGTGATATATTATACCATATAAGCGGTCGGTTTTCCATAATCGATAAAAACGCGCGGCAAAATTGCCGGTTCTCTGCCAAATAATTCTTGCTTAATGTTTCGGAGACTAGAGCGGCTTCACTCGCGACCGGTATACCTCCATTTCGCGGAATTGGGCCCGCGAAGCACCGAATTCGGCGCCACGGGTAATGCATGCGGGTGGAAGATTGCATGATTACAGTCATTATGGGAAATTTATAAAAAGTCGATCGAGTATTTTGCCGTATATACGGTACACCTTATATACGGTACGAATCTTCGGGCCGCCGTAATTTCTCTCTTACGCGGAGAAATCGTTCCTAATCGGGCCGATTATGTGCCGAAACTTCCGAAAAACTCCAAATAGACCCGAATAAGATTAGCGGCGGGTCCACCTTTCCGATGGATGGATGACTCTCTCTTTCTCTCTCTCTCTTTCTCTGGGCGGGATTCAGCCATCGATACGACGCTCTTAATAACGTAAATTTTATTGTTTAAATTAGACGTGACATATTATTATCGTATCTACAAGAAAAGTACAAAGTTATAAGTTATGCTATATATATATATAAGTATGTGTGTGTTATGCGGTAATACTCGTACGAGATACTGAGATTTACTTTTTTAGACGTTTATACGAGCTCGTTTTGAATAAAGTTGTGAGATGAAAGGGTGCGAGGAAAAAGAATGGAGAGGAGGAGGAGATTAGCGTTGTGGGATTGGGCGGAGAGGTGTGGAAGGAGAGGGCGGGACACAAGGACTTCACGAAAAATACAAAAATAAATGTGAATCGCCGAAAGCAGCCACGACAGAAGGCACGATAAATTGCTACATGGAAGCGGATGCTTGCGTCAAGTCGCTATTAAAAATAATCGCTATTCACCCGTTCCGCTTGTTCGCTCGTAGCCGTTACACGATCTCGACTGTCGATCATTGAAAGAATGCGTAGAGTAAGGAAACGAAGTTGTCAGACAACGTGATGCAAGTCACGAGGTAACGTTGGACCTCGCTGCTTTCGACGCGATGTGGCTCTTCAAGATGCACGAAATATATTTTCCGGTTACTGAATTATTATCACCGTCGAATATTCCCGAAAATGTGATATATTCAAAGAGTTATTTCAGTAAGTTGCCTCGAAAAAATATATTTAACGGACACCGAGGCGCTCCGTCATCGAGAAGTCGTCGCGCGCGAGAAGTATTTGCATTTGGATGCACACTCCGTGCGCAAATTTATACTCTGTGCCATCCTATGAATGATCGAACCTCGGGATATCGCAAATGTTATTCAGCAAGCGGCGCACTTGAACCTCCCTATTATTCCACCCGTCTTCCCTTGATCGTTATTCTGCTTCTTACTATCTCTCTCGCGAACTTTCCCGTCTTCATCGAACACTTTCGCTTTTCGTCTTAAGGTACGATTTGTCTACACGCGGAAAAAGTATGCTAACGGAGCGAAGTGAGACCCGCTCTTGCGAGCGGCAACATCGAAGTGGGGATAAAACAATAAGAGACACGATCGCGAACATCGCGGCCCGACAGAGAAATGATATGAGAAATCAGGAGCCAGTCGCGCCGATGTGAACGTGTATTTACAGAGAGTATTTATCTCTCCCCATGTTCAATTCGCTACGATCGATCGGAAAAAGAATCCACTCTCAATTGCCGCGCGAGGTTCAACACACGCAAGTGATTCTCTCTCGTTCTCCCTCGTTCAGTTTTGTTGCTACTGCGAACTTTGGCGATTGCAACATGCAACTTAAATCTAATTGTTAGTCGATTTACGACCGTACTACCGTAAAGAATACTATTTTGTTCCGATTAGCGCTAACTTAATCACGTGTCGCGACGAATCGCGTATAATCGTTTGACGCTCCAGAGATACAATACATCCTCGATTTATATTAATTATCTTAGTCCGTAAAAAATAGCGATTAGTATGAGCGTACGTATATAATTTCTTTGAATACAGGTATGTGTGTATATATATACATACACACACACACACACCTATGTACTAGAACGCGTGTGTATATTTGGCTTGTGAGTCAATAACATGAAGATGGAAGTAAGGAGCTTCTACACGAGTTGAATGCGTATGCGTGCGCGAGTTAGAACAGTTGTGCAGCGCGACGCGTCTCTCAATAAACCGAAAATGAAACACAACGATGTGACAGTTTGCCAGATATTTTATCTTGTTTTTCTTTCTTTTTTTTATTTATGTAAATATTACGAAATGACGTAATAGTAGAGTGGGCGAACTGAACGAAAATAAGAGAGCATTTGGAATAAGAAATTAATTAGTATGTCCTTTTGTACAGGACCGCGCGAGGGAGTTTTGTAATCTTGAGAATTTCTTAACGCTATCTTAACATATTTACAGTACAGGCGTATAATTCTGATTATAATGAAATTATATTAGAGAAAACGAAAAGGACAGAAGGTATACGTATATCGCATCGCGACTCCGATAAGTACGCGTACGTTTTTGTCCGCGAAATCAACGTTCGTCGAAATCTGAAAACCTATTGCATTTTTCTTCTTTTGTGCAGAAAAGTAGCATACCTGAAACTCATTATTGCCGTACGATTCGGGCTAGTTGCGAATCGAGAGAAGCAGGTGATTATTCATCCACAGTCTTGTAATTCCCGGTATCAAATTCGTAGCTAAAAACAATCCTACCGGTTCGATATACATACATACATACATACATATATATATATATATATATATATATATATATATA